TTCCTTCCAATAAAATGATTAGCCTGTTGCAGTTGTATTCTATCAGTTACCACTAATTACAACATCGTTTACCTATCACTATGAACCACTACTAACCTCGTGGTGTACGGTATGCACCCCACGCTCTTCTCGTTTTTTGAAAGGAAGGGTAGAATTTTCGGCACTGTTGCACTAATACAAACCCAGGCTCCAGATGACGCCAACGTTGAAAACGTGTGCTATATCCGTTATCAGGACACCAATTAACCTGCACACTTTAGTTTTCAATGGCGCGAACAGCGCCAAAAGGTGTCAACGTCAGAAACGATGCCCTACTTCTGATCAGGGCGCAAATAAGCTTTACAGGGGAAGTTTCGGGGAAGTTTCTCGACTCGTTTGGTGGTTGTAATATTGCAATAATGCCAAAGTTTCAACGCGAAAGCTTAGGATGCACTAGAACCGGAACAAATCCTCACCGCGTAAGGTTGATGTCAGTGTTGCGAATCGAGCGATTCTGCTAGCGTCCGCGATCGCGTCACCGCCAGCCAATCGCTCGATTCGCAAAGTCTGACATCGGCTTAAATAGTTACAGTTACGACGGCGTGAAGTCGGAAAAGTATCACATTGTTCGGTTTTTTGGGTTATTCACTGGAAGAAGCTACTTCGCAATCTTCTTCGTCATGAAGCATGGGTTTCGTGAAATTGATCTATGGGGGAGATAAAATCACGCAGTGTAAGTGTACGATGCCTTCAAGCATCGCTAGTCAGAAAGCCGGAAAAAACGCATCCAAATGCCTGAGCGGTCTTGAATGGAAGCCAAATTTGCGACGCTTTTGGAGGACTGTTTAAGCGTCGATCATTCTATTCGCGATGTTATCAAGAAGATGTAACCCTGTCAAACAGTGAACTCTGAGAATCTTCAAGTGCTCCTTCACTCCCAGTCCCACCCTAAGTGCAACCGCTCCGTATCTCTTCAGACCTGTTCAAGCGCAATTAGATCGCACACAACGTTCGAACCTTAAACTGACCTCCAACGAATCCTGTTACAACCAGTACCAGAGCTTTCCAGGGCTTGAAGTCAGGAATGATAGAATATGTTGTTCGTTTCTTCTGTGAATTCAAGAGGTAGAGAGCTATCGCGAAAGAACACCATATTGAGACGAAGAGCATCTTTTTCTGAGGTCCATCAAGCAGATCATCGACCTGAAAAGCAAGCAACAGACTTAAAAAAGAGCAACATTCTTACTTCGTCTCAGCAGTGTACCAGGGAATTCATACAAATGCAAATCCGAGAATCATTCCAGGAATGGAGCCCAGACATCCGAACAGTAGCGACCGCTCTTCGATCTGGATCCTCATGTACAGGACAGCGAACAAAGCACATCCCATTCCTGGAAGAGAAAGACTGGCTTTTTGGAGGGGTGTTGGTCCGTCTGCCGTTAAGCTGGAGCTTTGCGGGGGGGAAACCACCAATCAGACCTTAACCTGAATCAACGTTTGCTTGTTTGACCAGAACTGGTTCCTGAACTCTGCCGTATATCTCTTCTTTTCCATGTTTTGGTTGTGGGTAATTCTTGACAAGCAATTTATTAGCGTTAGCTAGCGGAAGGCTGAGTGACTAGCAGCAAGCAGCGAGTCTCATATGTGTTACAGTCCGGCAGATTGAAGGCTTGGAGCAGATTCGAATGGCAACAATATGCATCCCTCAGGGTCAATGAGAGTATCACATTGTTCTTTCGGGAAAATATTAGGTTGGCAAGAAAGTTCTGCGACACTCTTTCTCAAAATTTTCTTTTTTTCTGAAAATCATAGGTAACATTTATGACTAACAAATGGTAGAGCATTCTCGAGGCTTCAATCCACGAGGTGGATATAAGTGCTGCAGTAAGTAGTTATCTAAGAAATTCAAAAAACCCCGACCACTAGTAAATCCACACTCCGAGTCACTGTCCTAGTACAAATGTTCTACAACTATGGTTCACAAAGATCAACGAGATTGTAAAAGACCAACACTATCTGCAATCGCTTCAAAAGGGCATGTCGTGTACCGCTACAGCGTGTTTCAGCTTTACCAGCGCTTCCGATCTTTTGATATTTTTATAAGAAGCCAGCAGCGTCCCTCTCACTCCATTACAGGTAGGGCTCTTACAGAAGCTCCACTACATATTCTTCGTTATGGGCACCATTGTGTAGGTAGAGGCCTAGGCTGCGGAATACCAGAAGCTGGCCGAGGCAGCTCATCAAGAGCCCTCGTACCGCGACAATATTCATTTCTTTCATGACATTGCGAATCACCATGATCCGAAATGAGCCCGGTAAGAAATTCTGGAGTTGCGGCAAGATTTCTTTCCTCTCTTAGCGTAATCCCCTGGTCGAGCTGTAAATGAGTGCTACCTATCCTGGACCTTTAATCATCATCTTGATGACGAAATAATTAGACGATCAACTCCAACTCGGAAGTGGGGTCGCCTCCTTTCTTGACCCGCACTCCGCTGGGTTTTGGAAAAGGCGCATCAGGAAATTTTCTGAGTTGAAGACAAGTGGTGGACACTCATGATAGATATATGACCGGTCAGGAGTTGTAAACAAAAAAGATAGAATTAAAATCAAAAAATTGAAAAAGTGTTGCAGGACTTTCTTGCCAACCTAATATTTCTACTGAAGGGCAGGTGGCCTCACGAGACTGAAAACCAAATGTGATTACGTCATAATGGAATATAGGAATGCGTGTGTATCTACTGAGGTTGGTATCCAAAGAACGCTTCTTTTCTAAAATTTTAAACAATCGCAACGCGATGCGCGTTAAATAGCGTTACCAAACAAAACAGAACGGTCATTTTAGTCCGACGTATGCATTTCACGTAAGTATGCATTTTTCAAAGAAACGTGAGGGTATGCCCATAGAAACTTGTGGAAAGGAAGATAAAGCTTCGTCTGTGAAGCAGATATGCGGGGTGTGGGTAAAGTGCAAGTAGTGAGTCGATCCGTTCGTAAAAACTTAGCTCTTTCACGATGACGTAGGGTCCGTGAATAACGGGGAAAAGTAAGCGGTTGGAGAAAGGCAAGGTTACCGGATATTCTACGCCAATCTCCGCTACCAGTACCATCTTTCAAAAAGGGGCATTTCATAGATAAGATTGTAGCGCAAAGAGCGGAAACATACCGATCGAAGGTATGCTGGTCCCCACCCGAGGATTGGGAGGACGAGGGTAATGTTGACGAGAGCGGGTTTAGCTCCTGCAGCAAGAAGGCCGTACCACACGCAGCCGCCGCGCGTAGCGCCACACCTTCATGCGTGCTGGCTCTAGCCGCTTTGGCAGAGATGAGCAGTATTACCGTTGAAGGAAGCACAACCGATGAGAATCGCATCGATGCGGAAATGGGCAAAGAAGGTTCTGGGCAGATTCTGGGCTGTTTCCTACAGATCTTCATCCCTGCACTACGATAACCTCGATCTTGATTTTCAAGAGAGCTGCCTTTTCATCGTAAACTCTGCCTTAACTCGCAAGCTGGTTGAAAAGTTAGCGATTATTAAGACTTACCGAAAGATTGGATCATCAGAGAGAAATCCCTAGCCGAAACTGGATCAATCTGAAGACAAAGAGTCATGAAGGGAAACGCAATGGCTCCCCCACCTTCAGCTGTCATACCTAAAATGAACAAACAGGCTTGAAATAATGCGATTACTCTAAGAAGACCAAGTTCATGTTTCCATAATATGAACCACTTATTGAAGTGCTGATATGTCCGTTGGTCTGTCGGTCTGTTTGATAGCGCGCCCATCTCGAAATGCTTCTATTGGGATAAGGTGTGAGATAGGAGAAACTTACAAAGCTAACAACAAGCCGAGGAGTCCGAATTCCTACGGTACCAATGTTTCAAGACAGTTGCGATGGAGTTCATTCACTAAGGAACCCACTTGGCACTCCATTGGTCTCTTCATAAGGTGTTGGGTCAGCTTAGGGGAGGTAAAGGGAGTGGGAGGGCAGGGATTGGCTAGAGAAAAACATCAACGCACGAAAAGGAACCCAGTCAGTGTGGAGATGTCAATCTGACGTGTTCCCCGGAACACGGATTTCACAGTTGTTTGTAAATTCCTTCATTTTGTAAATACGCGTCTATCTCACAAGGTGCTGATCCCACAAATGGAAGCGAGCACAGTAAGATACATTCCACAGAGGGATGCGTTTGCGGTTGCTGGGAAAGAATATCAGAAAACAGGGCAAAAATGGAGGCCTCCAGAAAATCTGACATTTCCACGAATCGTTGCAGCTTTGTTGGCTCGTAGAAAACTGGGTTTCGCTCCTTGGAAAGTTTGAAAAGATAAAATAAAGGAATAAAATGATGTGGTGGAGTGTCCTAAGTTGACTAATTTCCCACAGCTACGCTCCGATTTTGACTATGAGACAACCATTACCAGATATTTGAATGCGTGCTGATCATTTGCCCCATAAAAAGTCTTGCGAAGTCGATCTGATTATCAAGTCTCTCTTTCATCCTCTTCCCACCTCTTTCACTCGCCCTCACCACTGAATTAAGCAAACCAGCCCTTTTGGCGTTTCTGCTGGGGCCGTATGCTGAATGTTGGGAGGGGATGGGGTCCCCGACGGTCGACGGACTACTTCAACTCGGTCCTTAAAACCGCCTCAATTTGATGCTTACCTCAGGACTAAGCCTTGGGGTAAGCAAACCAGCCCTTTTGGCGGAGCTGCTGGACCTAGCTGCACCACTTCGTCATCACTCTCCTACCGTACCGACCGAGTTGAAGTAGTCCGTCGACCTCGGGGACCCCATCCCCTCCCCAACATTCAGCATACGGCCCCAGCAGAAACGCCAAAAGGGCTGGTTTGCTTACCTCCTCACCCCTACCCGTTCCGTTCTACCGGAAGTGTCCGGGGGTTGTGAAGTGCTTCTCAAATGAGCCATTATTTCCTGCTTGGGAAATATCCAGATTAAAGAGACCCTCGATGTGCATCAATTATCAAATGCGTAACCAGTAAAAATCATTTCAGATACTAATTGAACGATCGAAAGTTCAGTTGGCGTAGCAGCTCTCGACCTTTTGAAACGCACAGCACCTGTAGCTTCAGCCCACTGTCCAAGGAAAGCATACTCCAATTATATCATCTGGAATAAAAAAAATCGAACATACCCGCGACTGTAGACCCAAGTACCATAATCGCCGGCATTTGCCATCTGGTACTGAGTAGTGCAAACCAATTGTAGCGATACGCCGTGAACCACCAAAATAACTGAAATTTATATAGTTTGAGAACGGCTGAAAACTTTCTCAGAGAAACACTAGCCTTTCTGAAAGAATTCTAATATTTCTGGAAGCTGAGCAAAGTCAAGACAGGATTTTTGCAAGACCACGAAAGACTCTGAGAAGACAAGGAAAATCTTCAGAATGATTAGATGGCTCAAGAAAAAACTGAAATTTTGTAAAAAGATACTCTCAACATACAATGTGATAACACCACTAGGATTCAGCAAGAACAAAGACTAAAAAGGTAAAGGTTTCTGCCGTTGATCAATCCCTTTTTGGGATGCGGCACGCATTCTACTTCCATTTGTACATTCGTAGTGGCGTTTGAATGCGATGTGGCCTATACAATGACTTGCGGGGGCCAGCCGATGTCAAGTCAGTGTTTTTATCCTCCCAGACAAGTCTGGTACCAATTAACCGACCCCGGAGGGATGGAAGGCTTGGTTGGCCCGGGCGACCAGGATTTGATCCCCGGACCGCTCGCGTGGTAAGCGTGCCACTTGCCACTACACCACTGTCCGCTCTAGGAAAAAACTGGTGAATGGGATATAGAGGTTTTCAGGGAGAGATAATTAAAGTAGGCTGATAGTAAACTACCATCAATCTTATCGTCGATTCTGAAGCTCGGATGACTAGGCTTTTGACTACGGTAAATCCTTTCTGGGGTGCGCCACGCATCCGACTTCTATTCAGAATGCAATGGTACTTGAGTACGGCATTATTTACTGCTTAGCACGTGAAACAAAAATGCCGTGGCGCATATGGCCTATATAATAACCCCAGGGGGTTTCTGTCATCAGTTATGCGGACGACGCTGAGGATGCTTGCCAAGGATAGCGGCCTCGATCAGAGAGTCGCTCCGGGACCGTATGCTTGTTGAATCAGCTGGAACACAAAGCCACATACCACTGCAACATCACTACCTTTTCTCCACTCCTCACCGTACGTGAACCCATCGAAAGTACTTCTAATTATAAGGTGAAGCTGAATTTGGCTTGTAGCTGAGTCAAATAAAAGTTCACACTCAAAAAATGGAACACACATGCAATGACAATCAATGGCCAGAAGAACGCGATCGTATTTCCGTTTCGTAATCAGGAACCGTTCCACGAAATCTGCATCTGGTGGCACTTCTTGATCCGTGGGATCCGCCATCTGCTGTCCTGAGAAAGAAGTATGTCATCGGTGGACATTCTAAATTAAAACGATGTTATGAGAAGCAAGACTTACCCGCCAAGAAGTACTTCGCTGACGAGGATTTTAGAAGTTTCGGTGTCCTGAAGAAATGACTCTGATTCACAATAACAATTAAAGCCACGGGCAGGATTAGGTGCGATTGAGTAGTCCCTCTTAGAAGTGAGAAAGGGCTTTCAAGCACAGAAGGTGCCGGACATGGGGTAGGTGAAGGCGAAAGCTTGTGCGAGGCCAGCTAAGCCTATGCCTTCGTAGTATGCCCGCGCATGCATGCCATCCCTATACAACGCGCATTAGTGGCGTCTGCGCCCTCTCACGTACGACGTGTTCTCTTGCCTTTTCCCCCTCCTCGCAGCGCTTTGTCTATCAGCCATATCACGCCCTATGTCGCTAAGGAAATTTCACTATTTCCTAGGGCGCTTTTTGTTTTTTTTTTCTCATTGGGATTCTTCGTTGCACTGCCCTTGATAAGCGCATTCCCTTTCGGTCATATCACGGCCTATGTCGCTTAGGAAATTTCACTGTTTCCTAGGACTTTCGATTTTTCTGCCCAATGACGTTCCTCATTCTCATCCCATTTTTGAAAAAAAAATTCGGTCCCGACCCGTGCCTTTAAGTCAAGTGATGAGAACATTTAAAAATAAATGTTGTGCAGGAAATAGCCAGTGCAGGCTTAACGGTGAAATTGTGCCATCCCTTCAAATTCAATCGAAACAATCAAGACTAGTGGAGTATTTCACAACCATCCTTCATTCCCTGAACCATCTTCTGAAAATCAGCTGAGCATCGCAGAAAAGGTGTCTCAGCAGAATAGAATGGCATCTGTTCCGTATTAATCTGATACCATGCCTCTAATCAGCAATAATTTTCATTCTAATTTGGCCCTGGTCAATCAGACTCTTCATAACCTATTCTGACCTGCATCTTTCGTTACGGCAACGTCAACAGAAGGATGGACGACAACCATGAAGAAGACCTCCAAGCCAGAGCTTTTGAAGAATATGCCCTTGGCCTAAAATCAAGCAACGACTGGATATGAACAGAATTGTCGTCTAAATTGCTTTCCAATGAAAGAGCATCAATTCGAGGGAGTACAGAATAAGGAGTTTCTTGAGATAAGCTTGAAAAAATTGTCTCCCAATACAAGTATATCGAATTTTTCAATCCGTAGGAGAAAGAAAACAAGACAGGCTATTTTCACAACATTTTAGTAGTTGGGAGGGAAATGTCACCGGAAAAAAGTGTTGCAGCCACCCCTCGTTTGATCCAGGATGAGTTCGGGTGGATGGCTTTTTCCGACGGATAGGATAGAGTTTTAACGAATGTTACAAATATTCTCTTCGCCTGGCTGTAAATTGCCACAACAAGAGCGATAGATGCCTGCAAAGACCGCCACGACCCCTCGCATTTTTTTCTCGTCCGCAGCGTGCTGGTGCCTGTGCTCTCTCATCCGTCGCGTTCTCTCGCCTATTCTCTCTTCTTCGTGCTCAGTCTCTCATTACCTCAGCACGAGTGTGAGCGCTGTAAACCCACTTCACACCGGTGTTTTTTTTTTGTGGGTGTGAGCTACACAAGTTTGATTAGTAAGGCTGCATGCCTCTGAAAGGAATTCCGCCAGTCTAGCTAGGATTTGCTTCAACGTACCAAACAAGTGTGAAGCAACGTCACAGACCAGTACACCATTTTCGGTAACAGCGCTATGAATTATATGTTCAGCGATTGGGTTTGATTGGCATAGTGGTGTGGTGGCAAGTGCGCCGCTACCAAGTGTACGGTCAGGAGATCAAATCACTTTGACAGTTGTTCGCCGTCAACCGACCGAGCATGCTATTCCTTCAAGGTTGCTGAATTGATGTCAGACTCGTCTGAGGATAAAACATGACTTGCGCATGCATCAGCTGGCCCATGCAATTTGCTGTATCGACCAAATGGCGCTCAAACGCCACTACAATGCTAACTGGAAGTAAAACGCGTGGCGCAATCAGAAGTAGATGAATCGACGCTAAACGCTTTACCCTTTCATTCGACAGAAAGAGGAATCCCGAACAACGCTTTGCGGATTCGGAGACGGCATAAAAAAGAGAGAAATAAGGAATGGGAACAGTTCTAGATAGCACAAGCATCTCGGCAACGACAGAAGGCATCACAAAAAGTACATGAAATACTGCCACTGACAAGGGAGGTCTTTCAGGGCAAGCCGCGCTTTTTGGAAACGGTTTCTTGCATATTGTAGGGACGCATGTATGGACCACAAAACCATGTTTCGTTTTCGCTGAACGGTTTTAGTAGTACCAAAAAAGTGGTGAATGATACCCTTGATGGTTCGATCCCCCGCGGCGACTAAATTTTGCAATCAAGGTTGGCGGCCACTTGTTGGCTTCAAAATGGTCCTGACGATGAATATGACATCTGATTTTGACATTTAGCGCGATTTGGCACCAACCGTAGGCGCCAACCCAAATGCAAAATTTAGTCGCCACGGGGGATCGAACCATTAACAGTACCTTATGCTTCTTTTTTGGTACTGCTAAAACCGTTCAGCGAAAATGAAACATGGTTTTGTGTTCCCTACATGCGTCCCTACAATATGCAAAAACCGTTTTGAAAAAGCGTGGCTTGCCCTGAAAGACCCCCCAAGGAACAATTTATGTCAAATTGCAGCCGCAGCTTTTTCCACACCCGTACGGTTTGCAGACTGATGTGACACGTTGAAGTTGGGCGAATCGGTGCAGTGCTAATGTGAGTGGAACCGCAGACATTTTCACAACGCAAAGTTTGAGCCTCACTTAATCAAGCCTTCCATGAGGCGTGGGTTAAAGGCAAGATTCAGAATTAATAACTAGATGATTTCGTCTCAAATGCGTGGAAGCGGCTTTGCGAGGTGGACCGCCAGTGGAGAAAAAAGGGAAAAAAAAATCATGAAATACACAGGAAATACGAGCCTTTTGCTCTACGCTGCGGAGAAGTTCAAAGGCCAAGCAGGGAGATGAGAGATAATGTGAGCGGGGAGAAGCGGTAGAGAGAGTCCGAGAAGAGAGAGCATGCTAGATGAGCATTGCGACGCAGACAAGATATCGAACGGTGGGCGGAGCATGACAGATTGGTGGAGTCTGCCAAACTCCTTAGGCTAGCGTCTTAGTAACGCTTCCGACGCAGGAAAGTAACGCAACCTGTGCGCTTGCTACGTAGCGCTTCTAGCCACAGTAAAGGCCATTAAGTGGGTGTGAGCCGGAGCTTTGCCTCTAAAGTGGTACCGCTTCAAGCGATTCATGTTTCTATTCGCCCATATGAGATATGGTGCCACCTGATCTAGCTTGAAGGGTATCGTCTTATGGCCCGTAGGGATTAACTCACTACAGAGATTCTTGGTTTCTGTTGTTCGAATTTTTGCCGCACTTAGCAATGTTCAGTTTCCATGAAGGGAGCGACAATCTGGGAAAAATTCGGCTTAGGTATTCGCGTAGGTCGGGGTAATAATGAGGATATAGCAACTAGGCTGATGGTCACCTGTCAGGTTAAAAATCTGTACAATCTTCAGCATCAGATGATGCCAATAACCACGTGCATGGTCATGGTTATACCCCAGGTAAGATCTAACTCAGGCCAAGCTGAATTTGCGACACATCCGACGGTGACATATTTGGTGTTTAATAAAACTGGCGGTGGGTGACGGTATGAGAGCCTAATCGGCCGTGCTGCTGAATTTATACCAAATTCACTACAGTGACCAAACTGCATGCCAAATGTACTACGATTAAGAATGGGAACAGGATGCGTGGCGCATACCAAGAACGATTGGTCACACCGTATGCATAATCTTTGGCGTTACTTAAGTAGCGGGTGCTAACTTAGTTGGGGTGACCGTTTGCTCGCCTGGCACTCTCGAGCGAGTAGTGTGAACTCGAAATTCAGTTATTGACGCAGTGTCTATGACGTAAGCAAACCAGCCCTTTTGGCACATCGGCTGGGACCGTATGCTGAATGTTGGGGAGGGGATGGGGTCCCCAACGGTCGACGGTTTACTTCAACTCGGTTGGTACGATAGGAGAGTACTGACGCAAGTGGTGCAGCTGGTCCAGTAGCTTCGCCAGAAGGACCTGGTTCTGCTCACCCTTGGACTAAGCCTAGGAGAGGGGACGGACCCGTCCTCTCTTTAAGGCTTAGTTCTGAGGTAAGCACCAAATTGTGGCGGTTCTAAGGACCGAGTTGAAGTTGTCCGTCCACCGTCGGGGACACCATCCCCTCCCCAACATTCAGCATACGGTCCCAGCCGAATGCGCCAAAAGGGCTGGTTTGCTTACGTCGTCATCAGAGTGACGGTTCACCCCCCCAGACTCCCCCTAGACTGCCTACAGTCCTCCTGGCTCACGGATTTCTCGAAGTCTACAAAGATGCCAGGCGAGCAAAACGCCGCGCCGCCGCGTGGTCCCCCAACTAACTTAGCGGGTACGGTCCGCAGCTACCCATCAGAATAATATGAGCAACTAAAATATGTAAATAAAAACCTTGACAACCAAACAAGAACTGCCGACTGTGGAGTTGTATCGATTGGTTCACTATTGAAGGTGAATGGGACGAACGATAGTCGTGACTGCGGTGATTATTTCAGTCATAGGTCTATTCACTATGAAGTCTGCCTGCCGGTCTGTCTAGGTCTATATGTTCTCGCTACGAGATTCCGTTCGAGGGATCACCGTCGAGGACCAAGTCAAAAGGGGATATGTGGGTCATGTCCCAGGCAGCATCAAAAAACACATCAGCTTCGAGCGGAATCCCTAACACGTGGACTCTTGATGAGCCGAGACTAATTAGGGCAATCACCTGTAGTTGGGCGAGGGGGTTCTCGTTATGAGGCGGTTTCTAAATGAAAAGCTTATAACTCGGCTCAGTACAGAGCAGGAAAGAATAATGTGGGAAGGCATATCCAATGTGTTCCCAACATATATGGCATGAACTGAAGCCCACTCACAAGGGCAGAGCATATCCTCAAGTGGGCGGCCTCTTTCCACAAGACCTCATAAGCTCGGTTTCGAAAAGTAGGAGACGGTCAAGAGTCCCCCACGACCGCCGCGCTTAAAACTAGGTCACCGCGCGCGACACGTCGCCGGCGTTTCTCTGCAGTCTGAAACATGGCAATTGGTCAAGGTTAGGACCCGTCTCTCTTTACGATTGATACAACACTTTTTTTGTTCTGTCTGTCTAATCTATGCTATCTGAATTTGTTTTTGCTTAGTCCTAGCTAATAGCCACGTTCCAACCTGTAAGGACATGTAGCCGCCGCGTGCGGTGACCTACTTTCGCTTGCGCGGCGCAGGGACTCGTTGTTCTCGCACCTCGAAAGATGTTTTAGAAACGGGAAAAATGAATGAGCTAGAGTAGGGGAGGTGGGGGTACATGTACGGCACGGCGGGCGTGGACGTAGGTGCACTAAGCGGTGGCAGAAGTTTGATGCGTAGCTACAGACTTTGAAGTTATACTACTTACTTGTTTCAGGAAGTCCCAAAGAGCGGGAAAAAGTGGAGAGAGGTTGACGAACGAAGGGAGACCTGTACCGTGACAAGCGGAGCTAAATCAAAGTCGCCATATGATCCAGCGATAGCACGAAGACTCAGAAAAGCGACGAGGATCTTAGTTTGGTTGGAAGGACAAGTCGAGTACTGGTTGTGGCGATGAGCCAAGGTCACATACCGCTCCCTATCACGCGAACTGTGTGCGCGCGCAAATGCGTGCGGCAAGCTGGTGACTGCATTTCCATACAGTGACACCTAGGGACCAGTAAAACTGGCGAAAACCATTTGACCTAGAGGGCTGTTGTTCTTCCATGATTGCGCTCATTTTACTATAGCTGGGGTTGCGCTTGCACCAATCAGGCCTTTATTTATTCCTTTATCTTTGCACTCATTGGTGCGCTATGACAACAACAGAGTGCGTTTGATAGAATGATCGAGATCAAAAAAAAAAACGAAACAAAAACAAGATATCTCTAAAATAAGCCTAACTCGAAATGTTCCCTCAGTCTATGGGCCGACGGCGCAGTGGGGACAGTTAAGACCGACTAAACCACGAAACAGCTCACACTTACTAGCTAGCCATCGTATGTAGTGGTAGGGGTGATCTTGATAAGTGGAAGACGTCTATCCACATTTGCTTACCAGGTAACCTTGTCGGCAAAACTGGTAAGTGCAGGTCAGTCTAGGCAACGCAACCAACCGAAGTTGTACCCGGGCGGGCCAAAGTAGGTGCCTCTTCTGATCTAAACATGAACCCAGGGCGTAAGACCTAGACCCAAGTATTTTGTATACCTCTTACTGTCTTACTACTTTCTATAATAAAATTGGGCACTATGGCAAGATACGGGGCATCCTCGAGGACTACAACAGGGAACTTGAGGCGGTACTACAAGAGGGAACTAGGGGCGGGAACTTTGGAGGAAATGAAAGTTGCTACCTCTCCTTCCCAACCTGAAGTTTAGAATGGATTTAAACAGAAAGGAGATGTTTTACGAAGTTTCAAATGCATTGACAGCACAATACCCCCATATCTTGCGATAGCGCCTAAAATTGTGCAAACGGAGAAGGATCCCAAACATAATGTTGTAAAGCCTGGACAGTCAGATGTAGTAGGATTATGCAAAGGAAAGTGGCCGTAGTTTCCTAGGCTCTGCCAGCTACTGGATTGAAGAA